GTTTGAAAAGCGCAATTTATCAAACTTCATTTGGACAGTCCACTGGTAATGAAATATCGTTGATAGTAAATCCATGAATTGACTTTGTATAGATTTTTGGTACCTTTCCAAAAATTGTGAAAGAAAGTTACAAAGCAATCTTAGAATTATGACCATGTTTTCTTGTGCAATTGCACCAAACGTGGAATTTTTTTCACAACGAAACGAAATTCCTCGACTTTTGAGCTTATGGCATGTTGAAAGGCGAAGGACAAGATTATTAGGAAAAAAGTGTGAAAATGTGGTAGAAAGTGAATGAGTACTTGAAAATATGAATTGATGATTTTGCAAAGTTGAAATTAAGTTGTTTTTGGGTGAAGGAATAGAAAGGGGAGCAGTTTGAATTGTCAAGGAATACCACACATAAAGTAAGTGGGTAGAATGGGATAGGATTGGAGACATAGGAATGGTCAGTACAACGAAACAACGAAAGCTAGTTTTTGACTCACTCAATTTGAGCACTTCCGAGACTATACAATGCCCAAACACTTCAAAACGAATTTTTCCGCTCGGGAAACCGGGAAGTGAAGAATGCGCGAGCGGCTCGGGGATAGAAAAAAACGGGTTTCTGTGCCAGAAAATCAGGTGTCCGCTCGACTGGTCATTGGCGTAACGACGACAACGACGACGATGACTGGTGGCTCTCTCACTCTATGCAGGTTTGTTGCGTTATACAAACACTAACATCGCCACCACACACATACACACACGCACAAATACACAATCTCGTCCACTACGGGGGAACCCGCCCCCCGTCTACCCGCCGAGTCAAATAACTAACGAACTAGATTGCCGCGGGCCCAGGTGGCAAAGCAGACACGTCCTGTCATGTACGGCGGTCCCCCTTTCTACGATTTATGAGTCATCCGCATGACGTCATCAAATCAAGTATCGGCTGGGTTACGGTAACTTACAGTTAGCGCCCAGCCCCACTCTAAGTGGCGATGATTTCACAAAAATGTACAGCCACTAACCGAACCGGTCAGAATTATCGCTCTTGCCTCGCTCGCTTTCTCGAAACCGGAGCTGGTATGTCTCCAGCAGCAGCAGCGAAAGTGATGTAGCGCCCCCTTAGATGTGTTCGGCTGATTAGGCGGGAATTCCGAAAAATCGCTCCAAGTCGACTATTTGACCCCATCTCAACGCGCACTGGCATACGGTAGCTGCACAAGGTCATACTGGCGGTGAAAGTAGGGGAGGAGAAAGCGCCAGGGAGAGTGGGTCACACACGCGATTTAATAGTAAGAGTGAATGGCCTCCCCCCCCCCCCCCCTCCTCGGCCGCTGTCTTCTCACTGACGGCGAGCAGTAAGGATTGGATCGAGGTCAATGTGAGGGATACGCATTCGAAGGCGGTGGATGAGGTACCCTCACGCTGAGAACAGTGGAAGACCGGTTTGTGCTAGATGACCGCCGTCTTCTTCAAGATTAGTTATCCGGATTTGCTTTTTGTGTCGGCAAGGCGAAAACAATGCAAAACAAGACGTGAACGCGCAAGTGAATGGGTTTTACTGTCCAATCTCCGTTACTCATTGATTTCATCGATTCTGATCTTGCAGGAGAACTCTTTAAAATTAATGCCAGCTACAGTTACTATAATTTTTCCAAGAACTAAAAAAAAACTTCTCGTTTTCCTAGATCGCTTTCTCAAGAAATATTACCAGCTTTCATCCCCTCCCCCCTTCTCCCACCATCGATATGGATACAATGATTTGAACTTGCCGATTCAACAACTTTTCCAAAACGGTTCTTTAAAACATTTTCATTGAATCCTTCCCTGTTCCCTCTTCACCTTAGGATATGTTTCAGATATAGTTAACATAGTGCTAATCAATTTATTTACAAGTATGCTGTGGGGGGGGGAAGAAACATTGTTTTCAAGTTTTCACTGCCAACTTAATAAAGAGTTAGCGCATTCAACTTTTTGGTGCGTTTACGCCTCTACATTTGGAAAGATTCTTGTAAGATCCCTTCCACTCCCCCCCCCCCCTCCCCTTGACCTTTCCATGGAAAAAGTGTTCAAGACAAAAATGCCGCTAAGGTATTGCCAGATGGACTATTCTCACATTTTGCAAAAATTAATTCCTTTTGGTGTAAATTGGAAGAGCGAGGAAGGATGAGAATACTAGTGGTATCCCCCACCCTCCAACCCTTCCCCACCCGCCGTTAATGAAAGGACGTTTTTTATAGCTCAAGCGGATTTATAACATTTCGAACTTGCGGGTTATAACGGGTCCTTCCCGAAATGCAAAATCCCAAAGAAGTGATTTGTGTCTGACTTTTGGTCGAAAGGAGGTTTGGAAGATTCTGAACGTTCTAGACGTCGAAACCAGTAAGGATTCATTCCAAATTCTTTGTGAATTGTCTCAATCCTCCCTACAAAAAACTGCTAGAGCATGACCCAAAATCCAAAACAAACAGGTCAGGGTCACGTACAATCGCACTTGCACACCACACACTCCTCACACTTTCGTCATAACTTCCTGTTTTCAAAAGAGAAAGAGCGAATCCAATTCAATTCCAGAAGTGCATTGAGGTGTAGAGCTGTGCACTTGGACGCGCGTGGATTGAGACGATTGAGGAGGAAGATTTGTGATCAAAAGATTCGGTGTCATTGTTAAGGCACACGAGAAGATTGAAGAAATTTTGTGATGGAGAAGAAGATAGTGAAGGAGCAAAGGAAAATGAAGGAATAGCTGTCTAATACTTAAACTACTAAGTTGAAGCTCGAATTTGTTGCTGAATTAGAAATGCTTGCTCCACAGCTTATAGAGTTATTGAAAATTGACTAATTGATTTTTTATTTTTTCTCAAATTTCGCACACTACGATATGCAAGAGAATTACGAAAACTTGCCTTTTAAATCTTTGTCTTTCTTTGTATATCTCTATTATTTTATCTTATAATTTATTTCTATGCCTTCCATCAAAAGCAAACTGCTGAAGATTACGTGAAAGAAATGCTAACTCAATTGAGTCAACTTCGAATGGGAGACTATAGTACCTTCATGCAAAAATTCGTATCATTTTGGACTTTCTTCCCCCCCCCCTTATGATAAAATTATATCATCTTTTCCCTTGAAGGCAAACTCATCTACAAGATTTTTCACTCTTGTTGATATGTGTTCTTCAAGAAAAACCGAGAAGACAGCCGAAGCTTTAAAAAGCTGAAGGTAGTGTGACGCAAGATTTTATTCAGTTTTTGGAAAGTAGCAGCAAACTGAGGATCTCATTGTCATTGGACCTCCAGGCAGTTTTAGTGGATTCGAACTTCTGTAAAATTGACTGTTACTGTAATAAACTCCTTTGCCTTTGCAAAATTTGAACGTTGGTTTTTTTCCTTCAAAGGAGGGAAGGAGACAAACCAACTGGACTTATCCATAAGCTTTGCATCGAAAATTCAGGTAAGTCTCTCGTTGGAAAAAAGTGCAATGAATGTTGTAAATTTTGTCATGGATAATACCACTCAAACTTTCGCGTATCAAGGTAGAACTAATCAGACTACCTGTGAGAATTTCAGTTCACTACAGCATTTCACTGGGTAGGAGAAGATGACGAAAGTATAATTCGAGAGAAAAGCTTATAGTTTCCTTTTTGAAATTTTTCCGGCTGTCACAAATAAATTGAAATCGAAAAGATTAGATTTTTGGTGCAAGACGTATATATGCACCAACTTTTGAAAGTAGCCTACAAAAGTCTTCGTACCAATATAGAGAATTACTGAGTGATAATAAATCTTCTCATAGATTGATAGAAAGTCTAGAGATCATTGAAGTGAAAGTACGACTCGATTTCTTGACGAAGACGAAGTCGCTGCTAGAAAGTGAAGTGAGAGAGAAAGAAAGAGAAAAGAGATGCGCCTTGCAGCAGTTGCGTGTCCGAAGCAAGGTGAAAGGAGACGAAGACGAAAGTGAAAGGGGTCGTCGTCGACGTCGTCGCCGGTCGTCGGTCCTCCGCGCCGCCGCTTCGACGGCGGTCAGAGGTCTTCGTCACCCGCCGACGTGTGCATGTGCTGTGTGTGTGTGCGAATGAAAGTGAGACCCCAAGTTGGTTGGTTGGTGGATCGGCCGGTCGGCTGCTGAGGGGCACACAAGAGAAGGCGAAATGGGGTCAGGCGATTGTCGAACGATGAAAACCGGACGAGCGTCCAGATACAGATGCTTATCCACCGCCTCTTACTCTCGCTCTTGTTCGCCGGTGTGACATGTTCAGCACTCCAATCTCGAAGCGCATGGGGGAAAACACAGAGTGAGCCCCACTCTCGCCAATGTTGGAGCTTTCACTTCGTTGAAGACATTCGAAAAATAAAAATTCCTTTATCAATTTGGCTAATAAATTAGTCTGGCCGTCTTTGCGATTCTCACAAATGTTGTGAACAAATTTCTCTTATTTGGTATCTCTTAAAAGAGCAGTTGAATGGAATTATCTATTCTTCAACTGAGAAAAGGCGCGAAGAAGTTGAAAATTCCAATTTTTTTCTGCGCAAATGTAAAAAACCGTCCTTTAACTACAGAGATTTTCAAGATGGCATCAGTTTTTATTGTTACTCGCTAGATAAAGAATCTGTTGTAAACAGCTAACAATTTAATCATCCCTATACCATCACAACATAAAAACGAAACGGGGAAAATCAAAGATCTAAGCTCTCAAGATCTAAGAAATTCGACCATGTTAGGACATAATTGTCGTTTATTCACAATAAAAAATCCTAAGTAGTTGATACATATAGTAAAAGCTTCATTCTACTTTTGCAAAAAAACTTACAAAGATAAAATAATACGCCAATTTTTTCATGAAGTTGCATGTTAAAACAAACCGTTCTTTTAACCACTTCAATGATAGATTTATTCAATCATCTAACTAATTGCCTAAAAACCCAAAGAACGATCACAACAATGAAATGAAAACTTTAGCACAATAAGCACTAAACAGGTATAAGAACGATCACTTCATAGAAGCTGTCCTAGCGGACAAGTGGCCCTTTAGGAAATGCCATTGCATGCAATGCGTGGAACAGTGGCCCAGAGACGGCAGTATTGTTCCTTTGATACAGTAGAGCATTGCCCATAAGTCGAAAGTCGTTTATACCCTGCAAAAGCAAATGTTCCCTCAGCATGGTGGCCGAAATTAACCGACTGATGTGGCTGACTCGCCTCCTCTAGTGCATGAATTCCATCAAGCACCCGAAGTCTGAGACAAAGCCTAAAAGCTTCAAAATTGAAGCTCAAAAGCTTTCAGAACTTCTCAACGCCTAAGCCATTGGAAGGAACGGCGAGTTCATTGTTTCAGGTTGGTATGGCGAAGGGCAAGAACTAGAAGGAAGAATGTTGAAGTCTGAGGTGTCCACAAAATGAGGAGAATTTTCCCTATCGATGCAGTTGTTTTGAGCATATAAAAAAACTGAAGACTTCGATATGTACATAAGTTAACGGGAGGAAATGTTAACCAAAAGCTTACTGCGGAAGTCATTCTCTGCATAAAGCAGGGATAGCGAGAATGAAAATACTGCATATTAGGTTGCCCAAAATAGTGCCGCGGCAATGTTATCATGCAATAAGCTATACAGTGAATACAAAAAAAGTGATTGACAAATTTCTGAGTTCGCATCAAGTTTGACTGAGCTAGACTTTGGGAGGCAAAATTTCAAAGCTCTTAATGCTCAAAAAATAAAAATCGTAAGTTAGACTAAGAAAGTCCTAGAGCCAGGATCGGCACCGGTGGCTTACGAAGCAAGCTATTGTTTTAGGGGTAAAAAGAGAGGGGATATCGTTTTTACCGTTCGGGGCGGAGCCGCGGACAATCTTCCCCCTTCCCTTCCCAGAATCGCCCAAACATCCTCTCCACCTCTTTTATTCCACCTTCTCAGCTTTTAGAAAACACAGGTAACCTCCTACAGATTTCATTCCCTGCAAAACCAAGAATTTCCCGTTTCATTATGCTCTCCGTGCAAAAAGAATTCAAAAATGTGCCACGAATTTAATAAAAGGCTTGCTGATAACAAAGAGGATGGTATGATACCAAAATTGGTATAATGTGCATTAGGGAGTTGGAGCCATGTATAAAAAGTTGCGGAAAAGTTAAATGAAAGTGAAGGCGTGACAAGCTTTTTTCCGAGTTAGGTGACTCTTAAGCTACCTGTGGTTATTCATCAACGAACCCTGACGGTAGACCTCACCCTCTAGGCAGTGGTGTACTCAGTGGCCGTATTCCTCAACGAAAACCCAGTGGGTTCCGGAACCCAGTTTAGTGCTTTTGATGAATATCGATGTAGAATCGATATTCATTAAAACCACTAAATGGGTTTCGGAACCCACTGGGTTGTTCGTTGATGAATACGGCCACAGGATTTCCGTCCGGGGCGGGGGGGGGGGGGGGGCGACAAAAATTATTTCGGTTGAAGGTGCGTGGCCTCAGCTACGCACTCAGAAAAAATTTTTTTACAAGGTTAATTTGAATTTTTGAAAATTTTCAAAAATTATTTTGATTACTTACAAGTAAAAACAAATCCTCTGCACATTTTTATAACACATTTAAGTAACTTTCAAAAATGTCGCGACCCATTCTCGGGGGGGGCGCCCCCCCCCCTCGGTACGCCGAGTAAGTTTTACCCCAAAAGCATAAAACCCATATTCACGAAGCACAGGTTGTGCTTAACCCCAGGGCTAAACCTACCCTTGAAGGTAAACTTTACCCCGGAAAAAAGCGACTAACTCGTATTCATCAACGACTCTGAGGGTAAACTCCACCATCGAGGGTTAAACTTACCAAGAAAGCGATTAGCCTGTATTCATGAACGTGATTCATCAGGGTAAGTTTAACCCTAGCATAGAACAAGGTTAACCCTGACAATTCATGCAAACAAGTGACCTCTCGATCCTATTACAAAAATTATAAATTTTTTCAGTAGTTTGTCGGCTAGCCTTAAGTGTATCTAGTCGAGCTGCGATAGTTTGATCATGTATCAAATCGTCTGAACGAGTATGGTGGACTAAAATTTGAATGAGGGAGTTCCGCATGAAAAAATTTTCCGAGCTGTTGAGCTTGATGTTCGCCATATCAAAGCCCTCAGTTGGACACGTACTTTATTTAAATTAAATCTGTTACTGTAAACAACTTAACAACGCCGAATTCAATACCGGATCATAACCTCAAGCAAAAACGCGGAAGGAGGTCATAGAAAGTTCAAGAAGTAGTGACTATAATGTGTCTGTTGTCAAAACAATATCACTAGGAGCGAGTGTTGCATTGAATGATCACTTGGTGTTTGTACACATCGAATGTTCATTTGGTGCTTGTACAAAGTGTCAGAGTGAATCTAATCTTGCTCTATGCTAGGGTGAAACTTACCCTGATGAGCCACGTTGGTGAATACGGGTTAGTCTTTTTGGTAATGTTTACCCTCAAAGGTGAGATACCCCAAGGTTCGTTGACGAATACGAGGTTAAACGCTTTCAAGGGTAAACCCTACGTTGATGAATACGGCAACTGGAGAGCCACCCGAGGTGGCTTAGTGGCAAAGTCATAAATCTCCTTCTCTTCACATAATTTCTGCATACTTTTGGCATAACATTGATCTACGTCCGAAACCCTACGACTAATTTTTCGATTTTACCAAACACCTACCTCTCCGTCCACTTATGGGTACAGGTCAGAAGTCGCAATTCTTCGCGAAGCGATGTCGCGACGACGTCAGCCGTACAAGACTCAGCACCCGTCAGTACCAGGATCAAGCTTGGGGTGTGGCATGCCACACCCAAGCGTCGTACTGAGGGGTCAAGGAGGGAGGAGTGGAAGGCGGGGTCGTTATCAACGTAACTTCCGTTGTTAGTTATAACATATTATTCGTTAACAATATCAGGTAGGCACATCGTGCAAAGTACCAGCACACTGAAGTTTTGGTCCTCCATCGTATAAAGTGCGGTTCACAATTATACGAACACCCCAAATTTTAGAAGTTTCTGGACTTTTTGGAAGAAACTCAAAAAGCCGTTGGTACCACGCGAAAGAGCACAGCTAAAAACGTCATATTGTCCATAAGAATGAAAATCGATGTCAATCTTAGGAGTGTTTGTGCGCCTAATGCCAATTTTTAGCGGTTCATAATTATACGAACACCTCAAATAATGGTCCATTTTTCATTCAAGACTGCAATCTTTCAGGTCCAATTTTTTGTGGGGTTACAGTAACGAGGTATCTGCTACACATTGAACCCCTTGCAGTTCAAAAAGAGAAGCGTTATCTTTTACAGATGGCTCTGAATGTCTTTGGAGACACTGCGCTACAAAAACGTCTGTTTTTCTGTGGTTTACGCACTCTAATTAGCTTCTACCAAGGCTATGAGATAAAATAATCTCTTTGGGCAGATATTTTGTCTGACGCTTAAACTCTTTGCGTTTTATGCCGTTTTTCGACCACGTTCCATCCTCACCGTAAAGATAGCACTATTTCGAGCCTCAAAACCCAGCTTCTGTCTCACGCAAACATTTGATACGAAGCAGCTGGTTTGCTTGCATGATGATGTATCCGTGCCAAAGTTTTTGGGTTTTTTGCAGAGCTAGTCTTGAGCTACGGAGCTAAAACCAGGTAAAGGGGTGATTTCAATGGTAAAAATTGTGGTTTTAGTGAAATGACGCCTGCGTGGCCAAAACAATTGCTCAACATTGCTGATTTTTCTCTGGCCAACTATCAGTCTTGTAAAGTTCTACATATCATGTGCTTGCTTCATTCTAGGACTTTAGAAGCTGAGTTTTGAGGCTCGAAATTGCGCTAACTCTACGGTAAATATGGAACTTATTCGAAAAACGGCACAAAAACGCAAAGATTTTCCAAGCGTCGAACAAAATATCTATTCAAAAATTTATTTCATCTCATAGCCTTGGTAGAAGCCAATTAGAGTGCGTAAACCACAGAAAAACAGACGTTTTTGTAGCGCAGTGTCTCCAAAGGCATTCAGAGCCATTTGTAAGCCATCTCTTTTTGAACTGCACTGGGTTCAATGTGTAGCAGATATCTCGAACTTCGTTACTGTAACCCCACAAAAAATTGGACCTGAAAGATTGCAGTCTTGAATGAAAAATGGACCATTATTTGAGGTGTTCGTATAATTATGAACTGCTAAAAATTCGCACTAGACGCAAAAACACCCCTAAGATTGACATCGATTTTCATTCTTATGGACCATATGCCGTTTTTAGCTGTGCTCTTTCGCGTGGTACCAACGACTTTTTGTGTTTCTTCCAAAAAGCCCAGAAATTCACAAAATTGGGGGTGTTGTATAATTATGAACCGCACTTTACGTCACAGCATGACAAAAGATCTATACTATAGCATAAGAGCATCGTTCCGTAATTGATTAGCATATCAAATCACCCTTAGGGCCGAGTTTCAGCGGATTCTGAGGTTTCCAAATATAGCCACTAAAATGGGATGTCATTTTCGATTATGCTAACGTTGTCTCAAAGGTGAGTTAATTACCATTTGATTCAACTGGCTTGGCTTCGGAATGGCGGGGCTTCGTGACCTAATTAAGGCTAAACAATGACCAGAGAGACTCGCACGAGAGAGACGCCGGTGCGTCGCGGGCGCGAGCGGCCTTAATTAGGACAAAGCCCGCCTTCCCGAAGCCAAGACAGTTGAATCAAAGGTTACATTTTTCTGCAAATAATGAAAAAAAAGTTCCACTTCTTTGGTCACTTTAAAAATTCGACTTCAAATGACCTCTGAATCAAATGACTAAAAACAAGGCAAAATCTTGTTTGTTCCACTTTTCACTTTCAGTTCTCAGCTACAGAAGTCAATAAAGCTTAAGTCAATAGTCTTTTCTGAGGTTGTGCCACATCCCATGAACTTACCTTCAAAGAGAATATCAGAGAACAAGCTATATACATTTCGATAGCCAAAATCTGGTAGTTATCGTGAAATTGATTAGAGCTGATTTCATCTTCTTTCGTTTGAGCAGTAGTTGCTGGAAGCACAACAGCGAACGGAAAAATGGCACAAACGAGAATTTTGGCTGGATCTTAATTCCATTTTGATGGCAATTGTAGCAGGTTCATCGTATAAACGGACACAAAATAGTGGTTTTGTATTGGGTACAAAGACGGGTAACTAACACATTTTTGAAATGTAGTTGACCATGCTTGTTTGGCCACTTCACTTGGGTGATATTGGGAACATATTGGGATTGTATATTGGGAATATTGGGAACCCTCAGAACTCGCTAAAGCTTGGCCCACAGGGGTTACTTGACGTGATAATTATGAATATTTTACTAATTATGCTTGGTAGAGCCTTTATGTCATGCCCACAATAGGCACACGAAAATGTGTGGGAGGGTAGGAGCTATCGAGACGGAACTAAGGGGGAGGGAGGGGGGGACGGCGGTTATGCGACACCTCTTGCGCGACCCTGGCCAGTACACCTGCCGCAATGTTACCTACGGCATCGAGTCGTGCCACACCCCCCCCCCCCCCGGGCCGCTGCTTTGGCGCCGCGCCAGAGCACCGGAGAGTTTTTTGGGGCACAGAATTTATGCGCGGCGAGCGCCCTCCGCGCGCGGTGTGATTCCTGACCATGGTCTGGTTAGAATCCTCCAAAAAATTTGATGCCAGCGGCAATCCTGCTCTAAGCGCGCGGATGTGCGCGCCGCAAACAGCATGCCGCCAACTCGCCCAATGCGAACATCAGTTTTTATCGTTTTTCAAAGTCGTACTTATACTCTGTCCCACCCTTCTTTAAAATTAGGTTTGAATGTCGTACTTTTGCTGCAAATCAGTGGAAACTTTGTTCCCAAAAGACTGTTAAAGACACCTCTTAACGAGCCTCGCCTTGGACCCCCGACTTGCTCACACTCCTTATATCACTCTCGTATGCACGCTTTTGTGACATGATCAGAAATCGAGAAAACTAGATATGGTTTAGCTTATTTTTGTTTCTTATTTTAGTGAACTTACATGTGAATGTCTGATATAAAGAGTGCACGAATGGGTGAATATGAGGTTTATAGGAACTCCGTGAACGGAGATTCGGTTTTTCGAGTATTCAAGACTTTTATAATTTAGCTTGTTTATCATAGGCACCCAGATTCGTTGTTACTGATGTTTACTTCCCGCATCATATGATGCGGCACGATCTTCCGGACAACCTAATACTATTTCACATAGTTCATGCGCTGGCGTTAAACATTGCTAAATGGAGAATTAGAGGCTTTGCAGGACATATTCTCTAATAATCATAAAATACATGGGTTATAGGATTTCTGTATGTATTAAGAGTTTTCAACATTTTTGAAGCTATTTTCCCAAAACTAGAATCAATACTTTCGTCCAAACTTGATCGACTTCATTAAATGAAGAAATAATTATGATGCTCGACTTTTGTAAAAAAACATATTGCAACTCTTCTCTGATTTATTCAATTGATTAGTGCTTAGGTTCAGATTGCACCGAGAGCGAAAATGCTAGAACATACGAAGATAATGCTAATCCTGAAAGCTACTATGCTGGTTTTTCCCGTATGCTGTCTATTACCGATCGAAGGAAAAACGAATCAAGGACAGTTTGTTTGGATGCATCCCTTCTCTCAACGGCTTTCTCATCATCTTTTTAGGAATGGTGATTACAAGTTACTTATATATGGAGAGCATTGAAGCTGAGATTCTGGGTTTTCCTTTTATCTATTTGTAGAGCATCAGTCGATGAACAATTTCAGGCTTGTTCAATGAATCTTCTCACCCTCTATCTTACTGTATTTTCTTGGTGATGTATGCTAAATCTACATAGAACAGCCGTATTTGTCAACTTTGCAAGTGCCAACGGTCAGTAACAGAACTTGCAGAACGTTGATTCTTTCATGAATCAAATTCCACTGAGATTAACTCTTGGGAACTACGAAATCTGATTTACCAAGAAACGTTAGAAACGAAATGCTATTGTGTCTAGAATTCACAATTTCTATAAAGTTGTACGGTAAGTTCTAAAATCAGCTGAGGGGTGCGTAAAATGCTCTGCGCAGAAAGCTTTGCTCTAGCTATTTGTTACCAAAGCTTTTTGTAATAAAATAAATTTCGACGATAAGAATATTGCAGGGTGGGCAAAGGTCTGGGAGCCTAGTAATTGTCCAGATAAAATCAGAAGGAAATGAACAAAAAATACCTAGGAACAAAAAATCTGGTGCACACATGAACCGAATCTTTACAAATACAGTGCAGCTCTTAAATTTTGAGGTTGCCTCTTTTGGCTTCAAAGCAGCCTTTCACAATCCCGCTAAGTCTGTCTGTGGTGGCACACAGGTAGTCGATATGAAATTAATTCATGCCTTCATGGTAACTGTTTCTTCCACCAGACAAATGTGCAGTATGATAGAGCAAGTTTCTGGCTACAACATATTTTGCGAAGAAATTTTTTACGCGAAATAGGAGAACAGTTTTGGGAATTAAGTGAAGGCAAGTGTACTCGCATACTGGAAATTTGGATGCGATTCCGTGAACGGGAGCGAAAAAATACAATTTAAAAAGTTTTGAAATTGCTCCATTGATCAAATTCAAACAGATGCTTATATAGAAGGCTCATGGAAAGAATATAGGCCAATACTTGGTACCTGCTGCGCTCCTATAGCTTTAGAATTTTGATTTAGAGACGAATGGCCACTGGCACGCAGGTAATATTCGCAAATTTTTAGTTTGCGTTTTCGAAAGAATATTTTTTGGTGGGCGCAACTACACGATGTGATAGTGCAAGGCCTCCTTTACAATGTGTGCATCAAATTGTTGTAGAATGTTCACAGTATCCTTAGCTACGAAATTAATTGTGAATACCAAAACTTTTGATTTTTTCGCTCTGCAGAAGCACTTGCTTGATAAAACCAATTCTTACCAATACATATGGCAAGCATTTTTAGTGTGGTTTGTATAGGATGATATTCGAATTATGTGACACAAATTTGGAGTTAAAATCACGAGTAGTTTCGTGATTTACGACACTGCAAAGTCGGCTCCCAGACTTTTGCCCCACCCTGTAGACACAATAACGATGGGTTAGAAACATCTTATACTATCTATGCATCTTAATCGGAATTTATAAAACGTGAGCCGACTTTTTTCTGACAATGATTGATATGCGAACGGGTTAAGGAAGGCACGAACTTTTGAAGCGACCTGATAACTTTTTTCAAAAGTAAAACGCGTATTATGAAGAAACGCGTTTTTCACACAAGCGGTCTCCAGCAGCAACCTAATTTTAACTTGTCTTAACACGTTACGACGCCGCAAATTCTTCCTCTTCCTGCTTTGCTTAGGCCAAAGCCGCCAGGGGGTGTGTCGCGCGCGGCGGTGGTCCTGCGTATAAAGTATTACTGTTGTGCGGAAAGTCCTACACCCTGTATTATGTTTATACCGGCAGCAAGCAGATCTGCGCATGCCAGCTATTTTGAAAAGGTAAAGTCGCCTGCACGAAATCGCCCGGGTTGTTGCATGCTGAACGCACGCGAGCGTACCTGCAACGCGGCTGCCGAGTACGGACGCTATGATGTCTCACGCGCGCGGGTGCTCTTTCCGGGCGATTTCGTGCAGTCAACTATAGTTCGTAACGATGCACGCAACCTTGTTGAAGGAGAGTTTTTTATCAGCTAGCGCAATGTTTTGTCTGACACCGTATTTTTGTGACTACAGAAGTGCTGAGTGAAAGAAGAAACAGTAGCAAAGTGTTCTGCTTGGGATTTCATAAGCCAGATAACGTAACTCATGCAGATTAATTGACTTCTATCTTCACTTGCCCATGCTGCTTGAATATCAAACTTTTCTTTTAATCGTCAATGAAGGCATTTGTCTATGAATTTTCGGTATTCGAGGATATCCACCGTCTTGGCATTTTCCAGACCCAGTCCGTCAAACACCAGAGTCTTCATTCTCTTCTTGAAGGTTGGACTCTAAAACCTATTGATTACCTTAACATTTTGCAGATAACGTTTACACTCTCCCAGTGGTGGAACATGAAAATTACACCTCAAAGGTTTTGACGGTTCTGCAAAGAACGATTGCTTCTCATGGATTTGCTATCTAATCTAACTGGGTTCTACATTGTTTTCAGAAGGAAGGTTCTATAAATTGTCCAAAAACTTACATCTAAAATTACAAACACTATCGTTCTTCCGTTGTCACGATACGCATTCTTGCTCACGAAAATGTCTTCTGACTGAATCTTTGATATTGGTAAGAATGAAGTTTGGTGAAAAAATCCAACTAACCAATTTTGTTTTCAAGTGCTTCTCCACTGCTGCAACTAAAGCGGGAGGAGTATCCTTTACGTAACCATCGTAAAGCTCGTTTATCAGCATATAACACCCTTTGTCAGCTAGGCATCCACCTATGAGTGCTAATAACGCGATGTAAAGCATCTATAACCTAAGCGTATTAGTAGGAGTTTGAGTATCTCAAAGATGTGGAATATTTTCAAGAAAAGATGAAAGAGATGTTGTTGTTTCAAGTGTTTGATTGACGCAGCGCTTCATTTATACGTTTCTCCGCTTATTTTACAAACAAATTATTCATTGATTAAGAGCTACGCTTTTTCATCTATAATTCATGATTTTACAGTTTGTTCCCATCACTAAGATTACAGCGCATTAGCTCGGACAATTGTCGACGAATTGCGGGGACCAGACTTGAGCTTTTGTGCGAGTGCTTGTCGAAAATGTTTGTTATGATGATTTACGACTCAATGATGAGCTAGGAATGTGTGCTTCTGTCAGTCGATGTATGTCTGAATGTCGATCGCTACGAGAATTATGAATCGAGCAGAGAAAGTCTAGCCAAACTTTTGCTGCTACCGCACTTTTTTACTCACAGAATACGGATTCGATGCCCAGGACTTCAAGGATACATGTACATTAGTTTACACAATTATCGAGATTTGCGCGAGAAGTACAGGCCTCGTAGCTTTTCGAATGTGATTCTGTAACCGACCGCTGTTTCGATTGTCCCGAATGTTTTGTCCGTCTTCTCGAACGACTGTAAAATTTGAAAGAGCTAAGAGGATTTAGACATGCATTCGATGCATCGTTTTCTTATATTTCTAACTATCACAAATTTAGATCACATCTGCTGTACGCTTTTTAATAATTGCCAAAATTTTACCAATTTCCATCTGGTCAAACTTAGATTTATTTTCGAAAATGTTGAGACTTTCGGAAAAGAGTACAATATTGCTTACAAGATGTAAATTTCCGTGAATGTCGCGGATTTGGGAATTCCGCAAGTCTGCGATATCGAGGACATGCTGTATATTAAAAAAAAGATCTAATGAACTAAGCGCAAAGCTTTCTTCGGATTTATTTCGCGAAATCACGGGATTCACATAAATCACGCAGTGTCATAACTTGCTTCGAAGTGAGTATATTAAATTCGAAAAGAGCTTTGTGCTCAGCTTATCAAACCGAATTTTTTGATTTACGCATGTTCTCGATAATCCGTCTTCTCAGATTTTTCTGGGTAATGATGTAACGCTGCGCATAACTCATATAAAGCTAAATGTCTGTTTGTCTGTATGTATGTTCCGAATAGAAAATTCGTTTTCTGAACCCTTCGCACACATACACAACGGGGCCGGCGGGTGCCATAGGCTACTTTTCGTCAACGATCGATATCGAATTTATCGATTTTATTAGTTGACCTGGACAATGCCTTTGATACATTGAGTGATGCAAGCTTCTTTGAGAGGTTATAGAGCAAAGGTCCTCAGGTTTGCTTTTGAAGTAAGGAGCGATTTTGGAGAGCAAGGTTGCCTGTTTCGAATGGTACAGGTTAATTGCCGTAAACCTACCGGTTCATTGGAGAGCGACGACAAAAACATGGCGAAACTTATGAAACGACCCAATATTTTACAACCTTTGAAATTTCTCTGATGGAGCACTTAGTGTGAGTCCGACTGAAAAGCTGAAAATAAAATAATAAGAAATAAAGAGAATCAAATAATGCGGTATTTCTAGTCACAAATGGCTTTTGCTGCCAAGAATTGCAAGATATAAAAATTGTTGAGTTCGTAGAATTTGGGACTTTTGAGAGAAGCTGACGATTTGAGCTATTTAGCTATTTAGCTATTTAAATCGTTAGTTGAAAGGCTTTGATTCTAATTATGGTAACACAACACTTCGGCCGCTTATGCTTAAATGGCTGCTGGCTATGCAAAACGAAAATGACCAAAATAATATCATTTCTGAAGGAAAACTGAACTTGAAGAGTTGCATTCTGACTGGTGACGACCAAGGCAGCGATGCTGTATTCACCTACAACACCGCTCACATAATGTGCAAAATTTCCATAAATGTCGCAAAATTCCGAAAATTCCGCGAAATTCCAGGAATTTCGCGGAATTTTTGGAATTTCGCGATATTCACGGAAATTTTGCACATTTTGTGAGCGGTATTGTATAGTGATATCATAAGTGGGCGGGGCTTACAGTTCACAGCTAAAAAGCGAAAAATCGATATTTTGAGGTTAGTGAACCACCAAGTCCTTAAAAATTGATAGAATCGGTATTCTGAGGGCTGTGAAATCCCGAAAATCGACAAAAATCGATAAATCGATATTTTAAGGGTTGCGGAACCCCGAAAATCGACAAAATCGATATTCTGAAGGTTGTGAAATCTTGCAAATTGACAAAAATCGACAAAATCAATAATCTGAAGGTTTCGAAATTCCGAAAATTGACAAAAATCGATATCCCAAAAATCGGCAAAATTGTTAAAATCGGTATTCTGGAGGTTTCGATTTCGGAAATCGGTAAAATTATCGAAAAACTAAGCGAAAAATTCGAAAAACTCCATAATAAGCTCATTTCCAGTGCTTTTGTACAGCTGAAACTCCTCCAAGCAAGCTCCGTCCACTTTATACCCTACATCACGATCGAAATTGAAGGAAATAAGAAAAATTAAGGAAAAATAAGCGAAAATCGCGTTTTTCTAGCCCGATTTACCCCCTTTCTAGCCGTTTTCAACCCCCTAACCAGGTCCAGATGGCCGCGGGTAACTATCACACGCGCTGCAGAAATAAAGAGAGGGGAAAAATGAGGGGGGAGAAAAGTGAGATGAGAAATTGCGAGACCCTGAACTGAAAAAAACAAGTCCGGGAAGGTTTATAGATGGGCTCCCACAGGCGGAGCCCCTGCATTTTCTCCGAATTATATGTGGTGTTCCCCTCTAATTCAAACTGAAGAGTGGCTATCCCAGCCTGTTATCCCTACTCTCCACGAAGATAAAATTCAAAATATGCATCATCGCCGTTATATAGGTCCTACGGTGGAGCTACGGCCATGGTCTACCCCTAAAAAATAGAGCTAACAAAAGTACATATCAGTGACCACATGTGATTACCCCAACCCTACAATTTGCAGAGATATAAGGGCGCAAACTCGCCTTTATTGACAGATTTCCCAAGTTCAGCTGTCAATTAGGCACTTTTGTTGGAAACTTGTTAATCTACGACCTTCTCTCTAAAAATCATACTTTTACAGATCTGTCCAATAAAACAAACTCCAGCCTCATATCTGTAATATTCACAGAGTTATTAGTCCCCCAACATGCATGCTCAGGCCGTAAAATCGGCTCTCACAAAGTTGCCCCGTAATTCCCCCAAAAATCACGTTAGACACCTTTCTCATACCTATACATCCCATATTTTTTCCAGCTTCTTAGAAGCAATACACACTGATATAACGTGCTCGCTCCTCACTCTTGGCCTCGGCGCAAGATTTGGTCAAAATATTGAGGTTCTCGAATTGACCGGAAACTTCGCTCATAGTGGTTTTTGGTCCCGATCATTACAAAAATCCTATTTATTTTGCACTAGAAAGTCTTAGAGTAAAGCTAAAGTGAGATAGAAGTGGCTCAACACATCAAAATCGCAAATTCGCCTGCACTTTTTGCCTATCTATTGCGAAAATTGTCTGCATATTTTTGTGATTTCAAAACTTTGTGAACACCTCTACCGGATCATGCTTAGCGCAAATCTTTATCTGCATTGTTCGTCAGATTATGATGTTACAAAATCGCCTCCTCATGAATTGCCATTCAAATTCAAAGTCGTGTAATTTGGCAGATATTCTATTCTATAATGTGCCACCAGCAGCAAAACAATGTAAGACATGTTGTTAGCAAGTCGAGTAATCCATGTAAGCAGAAATTATCAAATTTGCTTCATACATGCATTCGAACAGTTATGACTTTGGAATGTGAAATTCTCGGCGATGTCGGCGAAGTCGGCGACTTTGCGTTTTTCAGCGATTTTGGCGAATTCGCCGACATCGCCGAATTCGCCGAAAATTTTCACATTCATTCCACTGTCATAACTGTATGGTATTGTCATAACTGTAGAAAAGCTTATAGATCACTTCAGCATGAAGGTTTGAATGAAAACATTCACAAGCCGTTTCTAATGTTCATCTGTTAGCAGCAGATGAGAAAATTACGGATTTATTAGTTTATCAGCCAGATACAATACCGCTCACATAACGTGCAAAATTTCCATAAATATTGCAAAATTCCGAAAATTCCGCGAATTCCCGGAATTCAGCGAAATTTCGGAAAGTTCGCGAAGTTTCGCAAAATTCCAGGAATTTCGCGGAATTTTCGGAATTTCGCGATATTCACGGAAATTTTGCACATTTTGTGAGCGGTATTGTACATATATGTACAGTTCCAGTTGTTTCAGGTTGTAAAACTAGCTTTAGTTTGGAGTGGGTGTTAGGTCATTTCTAATAAAACAAACTTTGAATATTTGCTTTCGTGCTCTGAAAAACGAACAATCGCTACGTTAGCCGACGACTTGGTAATAATCGGATGTTTCCGAAGAGATTGAAAAATAATCCTAGAGTGTCAAGCTTTGATTAGCGTCGATTTTGGGATACCTTGATGACAAGCAGCAGTACACTAAGTATTTGGTACAGTATGGCATCATTTTTGACAACCACTGCAAAAGTACTAAAGTTGAGGTGAACGTTCGAAAAATGAGAAGTATATCGTTGAGCCAAGCTCACTGCTAACATCTAATTTATTCCGTATCTGCAGATGCTTTTTAAAAAAAAACGTGCAATCACAACAATACGCAAGAACGTTGTCAATTTCAATTAACCTTTCCTTCACCAAGCAGCATTCACACCTCATCCCTGTTACAGTGTCAAGGCTGAGGTTTTTTTTTCTTCAGAAATAGGAAGCTAAGCGAATGAAAATGACAGAAATGAGAAATGAGAGATGAGAATCATAATTGTCATCAACTATGTAAGTACATCTCATCACAAAGGTCACAAATTGAAACCCTAGCACAATCGTAGGAATTTTTCAGTGAGGTGGAATCTATCGGCGTATATGGCATAGTGGTGATTGAGCTTCAATTTTTTTTGTTC